GGACTGAAGGGTCCCGGGTTCGATTCCAGTCAAGGGCATGTACCTTGGTTGTGGGCGCATCCCCCGTAGTGGGTGTGCAGGAGGCAGCTGATCGATGTTTCTCTCTCATCGATGTTTCTAACTCTCTATCCCCCTCCTTTCCTCTCTGTAAGAAATCAATAAAATATATTTTTTAAAAAATCCTTTCTATAGCAAAACTGTGCTTCTATCGTGAGGGAACTATTAAGACTTTCCAAAAATAAAAGGTAAGAAAATTTCCTACCACTATACCTAATATGCAAAGAATGCTTAAGGGTGCCCTAAAAGGTGAACTTAAAGGACACTAGAGAATAATGTTACCTGGACAGTCAGTCCTTGCACTGGGGAACCAAGATGGTACTGGGGTTGATTCTTACACTTAGGGCACCAAAAGCTCTGAAGATGAATGGACAGGACCCGAGTTGCCAAAAGCTAGCAAGATAATTGCATAGGAAAATATCCTTTCCCTCCCTATCCGTATAAAATCTGGGCGCTTGGACAGGAATGGGGGGAGGTCTTTGAGCTGGGAATTCTAGGTCCTGGGGCACCTGAGTAAAACCTCTTTCCTTTTGCACCAGCACCTGCCTCACAAGTTTGGGTTTCCCTGCAGCAGGCAGCTGAACCTATGTTTTTTTTTGGTTACAGTAAGTCATGCCTTATGGATCAACATCTCAGTGTGGGTATATTCATGGGCAATTATTAAATCTAGTATTATTATAACAATGGCTTGTAAATGTATTTTTATGTTCTATGTGATTTAAGAAACTAATCTTACAATGAAAGAAATGGTATAGAAGCCAGTGTTTCACTTATTATTTGGATGGTAGTATGACATTAACAACCCAAAAGGATGGAGATGGAGCTGATAAGGACCCATGATTGTAATTTATTGAATTTAAGTTGCTATAAATTCAAATTATAATGTTATATGTCTAGGATGTTAAATGTAATCCTCCTGGGAACTGGAAACAAAATCACTATAGAATATACACAACAGAAAATGAGTAGGGGATTACAACATTTCATTATAAGAGTTAACTTGCAAATGAAAAGAGAATTGCATGAAAAGAGGGGCAAAAAAGCTTTCAAAAAGAAATAGCTTCCTCCTTGTCCATAATTATTTTAAATTTATTTTGAATTTTGAAAAATATGTGTTATTTTATTTTAGAGAGAGCGGAAGACAGAGGGAGAGAAAGAAACATCAATGTGCGAGAGAAACATTGATCAGCTGCATCCTGCGTGTCCCTCACTGGTGATCAAGCCTGAAACATAGGCATCTGCCCTGAGAGGGAATAAAAATGTGTCTTCCTGGTTCACAGTTTGACACGTAATCACTAAGCAATTCTGGCCGGGCAATAATTACTTTAAATTTAAATGGATTAAATTCCACAATCTAAAGGCAGACAGGGGCAGAACGGATAAAAACAAAAGATCTAACTATATGCTGTCTACAAGAGGCTCACTTGAGATTCAAAGAGATGAACAAGTGCAAAGTGAAAGGATGGAAAAAAATCTTCCATGCAAATTGTCACCAAAAGAGGGTAGCATCACTATACTAATTCAGGCAAAATAGACTTAGAATCAGAAAAGGTTGTAAGACACAAGCAGCACCTTATATTTTAATCAGTTTCACATACTGCAAGAAGATATAATAATCATAAACATTTATGCACAAAATAAGAGACCTTCAAAATACATGAAGCAAAAGCTGGCACAACTGTAAAGAGAAATACACATTTTTTGCAACAGGCATTTCTCCAGTAATAGTTGGAGACTTCAATATCCCACTCACAATGATAGATTGCACAACAGACTGAAATAAGTAAGACTGAAAAATAGAGGACTTCAACAACTAGATCTCACAGACATAGAGCACCACAGAACAGAATTCAAATTCCCCTCAAGTGCACATGGGACATCTTCCATACTTTGAGCCACAAATTAATATTAACTAATCAATAGGTTTTAAAAATATATATGTCATGTAATGTATTTTCTCTAACCAAAAAGTGGGATAAAGTTGTGAAACAAAACCTTCGCAGCCAGATTTTCTGAAGGAACAGGTTTATTGACTAGCCGTATGGTCACCAGCAAAACCAGGTCAGGGGCATGCAGTCTAAACCACCAGAGCAGGGAGGTGAAGGCAAGCATTTCCGCCATCCTGGTTTAATGGGGTTCTTTTACAGCTTTGAGTAGAAAGATGTAAGTTATTTTGAAGGAATTCACATTGGCTATAGATAAGGAGGCAGAAGAAGGGTAAGTGGGGCTAGCTCTGGGATATGTGTATAGTCTGTAGGAAGAAGTGTTTGCTGCTTTTGGATTATTTGTTGGCAACAGAGTGAACATTCATGTGGAAGCAGGATGCGGTGAAATCTGGTGGTCAGCTACCCCTTAATGAATAGGAGCTATACTAGCTCTTATATTCACATTATTCTGAAGTACCTCTGGAAGTTCATTCAGTTTCAACACATATTTCATTAATTCCTGCCCTTCCTTCTGTTAACTGATTAATTCCCCATCTCTCTTTCCACCCTTTGATCTATTATAGTTTAACATAGGACCATGTCATCACAGTTACTACATTTTTAATGACTAAATAGACTTATCATTATTTACTAGAGGCCCGGTGCATGAAATTTCGTGCACTGGGGGGTGTCCCTCAGCCCAGCCTGTGCCCTCTCGCAGTCTGGAACCCCTTGCTCCTTCCCGCCTGCCTGCAGTGGAGACAGGAGAGGCTCCTGCCACTGCTGCTGCACTCGCCAGCCATGAGCCCGGCTTCTGGCTGACTGGTGCTCCCCCTGTGGGAGCGCACTGACTACCAGGGGGCAGCTCCTGCATTGAGCATCTGTCCCCTGGTGGTCAGTGCACATCATAGCGACCGGTCGTTCCACTGTTTGGTCGATTTGCATATTAGGGTTTTCTTATATAGGATAGTATGATACAATTTTGTCTTTCTTTAATTTAAATTTCTTTCTATTTATTGCACAGCTTTTCAGTCTCCATAAAAAGCCCAAGGGTTAATCGGCTGTAAGTACAACTTGTTCCACAGAAAGCAAGATGAGATCAACATCATGGAAACGCTTGAGAAGAGAACCAAACCAAAAATGGAACCAGCAACATTCACCTTCCTTCTCCAAGGAGCAGCTTACTTACCCCTCATACAACCATACCTGAGCTTCCGTACCAAACTCCAGATTTCCATTTTTGTACTTTATTTGTCCATTTAGTAGTTCTTCTAGCTGTGGACATGACTTTTCTAAAAGGAAAATTTTCACATTTGTTGATACCAATTTCAAAACCAATTTGAATAAAAATACAAATTCTACACTGCACTATTAAATTGATAGAAATATTTTTCTTCGTATTTATTGTTATTACATTTATTGGGGTGACATTGGTTAATAAGCATACATAGGCTTCAAGTGTACATTTCTATGATGCATGATCTATATATTGCTTTGTGTGCCCACCACCCAATGTCAAACCATCTTCTGTCACATAAATTTAGTCCCCCTTACCCTGTACTACTTCCAAAAACCCCCCTTCTCCCCTCTGGTTACCATCAAACTGTGGTCTGTGTCTATGAGTTTCAGTTTTGTATCTCACATATGAGTGAAATCATACGGTTCTTTTAGCTTTTTCTGACTGACTTATTTCGCTTAGCATAATATTCTCGAGGTCCATCCATGTTGCCACTAATGGCCAAACTTAAGATTCACATTTACCCAGAGCATTAACAGCCAAAGAAAAAATTTCCAGGAGACTTTCAAGGCCTGCAAAAATACAGTGCTACCTAAAATCGACATCCACATGAGAAAGCCATCATGGTAATAGTGGAATACGGAGTCTACAATGTGTGAAAATCTTTAGAGCAATAAAAATAAAAATGTCGTGTACTCACTTGTACAAGCCTCCTGGAGAGGTGCCCATGTGTCGTCAGGCTGGCAAACAGCAGAGATGGAAAGAACAGGAAAACGATGCTTGTATCCTGGGCGACATTCATATTCCACTGTGTCCCCTGGATGATAAGGGGGTTCCGGATAACCCTTGGGTTTCATAGATTGGAATGTTAGTAGGTCATCACAGGCATCTGGACATAACAAAAGAAGAACATGAAAGTAAAGTATTTCCTCTTTTTCACCAGCCACAGATTATGGCCTTCCAGAATAAATGGAAGGTCCTTGGCAAGATTTTAAGTGATTGTGCCAGGCTTTTACCAGATGAGGTGTTGTGCTTGCTTTAAAGAACATCCTATTAGCTTTTGGATTTTTTTTTGGCATAAGCTGAATATTCTTTCAACAGTAAATTGAAGAGACAGCCGCAATATTTTTGGTTTAATATATATTTATAGATATGCATCTTTCCCATTTTTTTTTTTTGCTGAGTTCATTTCACATTCACCTCTCCCCTAAGAAGGCTTTACAGCCCCTGATCAAATTACTCTTCCACAGTTTGAAACACAAACTTATGATGGCTTGTTACTTCAGGCTCAGTCTCCTCTCAGGAGGCAGGTTCCTAGAGGTCAGGGACCATATGCCTTCTTTTCCTACTACACTCTGTGCCCCCTGCGTGCTCAAGACATGCTATGGTAAGTGCTGACTCTTAAATAAGCATCGTGGATTTCATAGGTCAAAATAAATATGGACTAAACTATTTTAAAATATAAGACTTTCATGTCATATGTTTCACATTAGTGAGTTGATTAAAGGTCAATTAAATGTCAAAACTTATAATTTAACATTACTTTAAATATAATCTATTCTTCCTTCACTAATCAATGGATCATGTTTGGCCACAAAAGTTCTGAGGTTGCTGTTTAAGCTGTGTTACTATATTGCTATGCTGTTAGAATTTTTTTATTTCTGGATTTTTTGGGGTAGTTTTCTTCTTCCTAGAATAGTATCATTTCTACATTGGCCATTCCTCTTCCTTTTAATTGTCTGTGGGCTTGAAAACCTAACAAATCTGATAGAATTAATATATAAAATAATGTGATGGAGACACATCAGTAAAATCCTGAAGGGCTAAAAGCATGCAGAGGTCCCTCCTATAAGATTAAGGATTAAGAAAGGAGCTAGATCTATGCTGATCCCTGAGGAACCTCTCTTTTCTTATTCCCTAGATTGGCCTTATGTCAGGTTGATGTTAA